AAGGAGGAAAAAGGATGCACTAACAATATACTCGTAGCAAGTACAACAAGAAATCCGTATCTTTAATTAATGGGAAGCATTTATCTTAGAGGTCATTGCTTATCCCAGCTTAGAGAAGTCAAAGTAATATACAGCGGTCATTTAATTAACAACGCTAGACACTAAGTAGACTTTGCTAGACTGTAATGGAAAATTGTAGCATGGATTAACATTACATGCGCAAAATACCATGTATTATTTGTATTTTACATATTATGTATATTGTATAGTACCTAGTAATGTACTGTACGCTAATTATATAAACAAAGAATAATAATCCCTTATTACTTACATGACATGAGTGGTACTCAATTCAGCTGTATCATGTATTTTGTCTGTGTAATATTCTTAATTGTTCTCTTAAATAATTTTAAATAAAATTATTATCAATATAATAGTAAATAGGCAAAGGTAAAATAGTTCACTAAACAGTTTTTTTTTGTTTAGTAGCTATTGACGAGATTGATGCCTGACTTTACCAACATCACTTAAGCTACCACCTACGTATGGGATCCCTAACTTAAAAGTTCCCCTAAACAAGCCCCTAAATTAAATTTCGTTTTAACATCTTCAGAGCCCGTATTTCTAGTACCTATATTTAGGGTTCATTTTAACATTTAGGTGAGCCCTAACTGTCGGTGAAACAGAAACTGCCCCCTAACAGCCCCCTAACCATGCGTAGGGGATCCCTTAAACTTAGGTGACGTTGGTGAAATCGGCCATATGTGTTTTAAAAAATATATATTGGAAAACAGTATTTTTTTTATATAAATAAGTTATATTTCGGCCACTAGCCGAACACGAATTTTATTGTATAGGTAATTATATTTAAAACGATTTTTAATCGATAGAAACGGACCGATAAATAATGATTTTTTTTTATTGTGTAAAGATTATTACTTTGAACAATATTTAACTTAACGTAACCCCCCTAAAAATAATCTGTTGAGTCGCTCAGGAAAGTCCCAAATCAATAAAACGGAGAGACCAAACTTTGCGGCTCACCCTCGCTTCACTCTAGAGAAACACAAACAGATTTATCCCACGGGAACTGTTCATTTTTCCGGAATAAAAAGTAACAATATAAGGTATCAGGATGCCAAATTTTACTAAATTAGGTGCATAAGTTGTTGTGTAAGCTGTATAAGTTACTATAGTTTTTTTAACTATCCCACGGGAACTATTTAATTTTCCGGGATAAAAAGTATGTAAAATGTTGACCGGGGATATACCTTATAAGGTACCACTATGCAAAATTTTATTTAAATCGGTCCAACAGTTTCGGAGATTAGCCTGTACAAATAGACAGAGAAACAATAAAAATGAAAAAATCTGGATTTGTTCTATTTCTCTTCTTACATCCTTCTGACTCGGTTTTTAACATTTTTTTCTATGTACAGACATCTCTACAGTTTTATTATATGAACAGATCTTTTTATGACAAACAAATAACCAATATGTATGATTATTTTTGAATATTTAGAATGACCTATTGAGGTTATTAGGAATAGTGATGAAGTCCAGTATATTTTAGGCAAACCGAACTTGAAGTTTATGTCAAATTCAATCCCAAGTCTTGCAAGTCAGCCAATATTTGGTTAAGTCTCAATTCTCGATCCTAAAGTCTATAGTCTCATATTCACACAAACACTTCAGCAGACTGTAGATAAAGGATAGATTAGAAGAAATTTTCCTACTTCACAAACGCTAAGCAAGAAAAGTGAAGATTTGAATATTGTAAATATATTTACTCGTATATGAAATCTTTTTAAGTTCAATAACTTAGCTTTTATACCGAAAATAAAAATCACAGATCTAAATAAAAAACTTTTTTGAGAAACAAATGCCAATCACTTCGTAATCATTTCACGTAGTTTCAAAAAACACATTAATGATAGACAATGTATTTGCATTGTGTTTATAGATTGTAAAAATGTAGAAGCAACATCGGTGTGTATAATTACCGCTATATCCTTGACCTGCGTGGTTATCATTCGAATCGATACTTCCGCGTGACCCACTTCCGAATACAATCGACCTCTTATTATTCAATATAGCATTTTGAATAAAATATAATGCAATTATTTTGTTAATAAAATAATCAGTGTTTTATAATAATTGAATTATAGTATGCTTATTTAAGGCAGTGGTAGCCCAGTGGTAACGCGCTCGCTTGGGAAACCGAATGAAGCAAGTTCAAATCCCGAGTCTTGCACCTCTGATATTTTCATGTGCGAATCACTTCCAACATGATTACCACTTGTCTTAACGGTGAAGGAAAACATTGTGAGGAAACCTGCATGTCTGAGAGAACTTAGCAAGTTTTCAAAAGACATGTGAAGTCCGCCAACCCGCACTTGGTCAGCGTGGTGGACTATGGCCTGACCCCTCTCGTACTGAAGGGAGGCCCGTGCCCAGCAGTGGGACGTTAAAAAGAGCTGAATACATGCTTATTTAAAAGAAATATAATCATTTTTAAGGATACTACCAATAAAACCAGAGTGTGCTATGTGTGGAAATCTCTTACACAGTTTTATATTTTAAATAATTCCTTTATTAACGCACAACAAATATAATAACGTACATTTATTAATACATCTAAACGATTATTATTTTTGTTTCAGTGAGAAAAAGCATGTTGTCGTAAATAATATTAAATTATTAACAAAATCATAGAATTATATCTGAGATATTATAAAGAACTACAACATATTATGACAACACATACGATGTGAAGACGAAACGATTTGCAAGCAAAATAAATAAATTATTAAATGTATTTTTTTATATAATAGTTTTTTTTTAAATTTATTTAATGATAATTAAAAAACTAATTTTAATATTTCTCTTTATATACCTAATAATAGTTTACGAATAAAAAAACTAAAACCGTTTCGCTTCACATTGTTAAAATTAAAATATATACTGAATGATATCTAAAGCCAACACTACGATATGCCATTTCATGCCCTGCTAATCAACACATTTCTATACCACTACTCCCAATAATAAGATTCCATCTTAATTTGACCAATTTAAACTTGCGTAATACTGATCATTCCTTTAATTTTTCATAGAGCTATTTTGAAATAGGTGTAAAAGGCAATAAATTACGTCAAATTGACTTCCTATAATTCAATAGGTTAGAAGATCGCAGAAAATTACACGTAACATTTCAATAACATATTTTATTGAATATTATAAATCTCTACATATTTTCCTCCAATCAATTATCAAGATAAGAAAATTACACAATTGTTTTTTTAATAAAAATTTAAAACTCTAACAAATATTACTCGGTGGTAGAATAATAATAATTGATTTGACAATAGAGATAGAAATAATTTTACTTTCAAATACTTTGGGAAAGTTTCATAAATAAATGTGGTGTGGATTCTCTTAAACAAATTAGTACGTATATATTATGTCCACAATATTTCATAGACGCAATTCAATTTAAATAACTTATTTAAACATACTTATTCTAGAAAATATGTGCTCAGGTATCAACAGAATTTGATATATAAATTGTATTGTCTATGTCTTCTACACAATAAGTCTAACGATAGTTCAACATGATAACACATTGAATGCTAGATAATACGTCCATATATGATTTATAATGAGTCAATGAGAGCAGTTACGAAGTAATGATAGCTATAATATAATATGTATAATATTATGATGCGAACGTTGTTTAAACAACTCGTTATATTAATTACATAGCATAGTAGGTAACAAGATACAAACCGATTTCATATAGTTAGTACATACAATACTATACAGGTTCTTTATACACGGATGAAACATATTTACAACACTATAAGGTAATTAGCGATACAGGCGATAACTGCCGTTTCAATATTCTTCAGGCCGAAATCGATTTAAAAGCGTCAGTTTTTTATGCAGTCATAAAATACACCGAAGAATCAATCGTATTACATTCATATTTTCTAAATTACAATTTCAAAGAGCAACAGGTTATAATTTAACATTCGCTACTTTAATAAGTATGAAGCAACGAGATGCATCTTTATATAGATCAAGAGCTAGAACATTTTTTTATAAATATTTTTTTATAGTTTTGTGCACACACAAATACACAAGTTGTGACGTCGATACAAATCTATTAGAGTTACAAGCTCTTAAACTATTATAGATGAAGTAACATTCATTAAATCTAACCAAGGAGAAGCAAATAATTCGTCCATCTGAATAATGATTTTTTTAAATTATGTCTAAAAATATTTTGCGCTTTCTGAAAATGTTTTAATATATTTGTAAATAAGCTGAAAATTTGACTTTTGGTCCAAATTCCACAAGTCTATTTCATTATTAATATTAAAAAAAAATATCAGAAGTGAAGTTCAATGCGCAAATTATTGTTTAGCACAACTTAAAAAATAATCTTACACTAAAACTCGTTGTAATACTTGAAATTTATATTCAAGTATATAATCTAAAATTATGTTATAAAACTAAAGATAACAGGCGAAAATACTCAGGCAACGTATTAAAAGAGTTCCAAAAAGATATAACTATGTATAGAAGTATCAGATCCCTACTCCAGCTCGCAATAAATGCTATCTAACACCTAAATTAATAATACTAATACATAAATGTCCAATATTACAATTATAACAATATTTTCAATATTTTAATTTTTAACGTTCATAATGACGAATAAAATTTAAACTATACGAAAAGATGTAATGTTATTTGTAGAAATTTAATAATTTCGAAATGAAGTAATAGAAAAATGAAAGGTTTAACAAAGTCATTGTGAATTTTAAGGAACGTTTAATAAACATATAAATATTTACGAAAAATAGCTCCTTGAAAATACTGGTTTAGTTCATATAATTGCTAAGTTCTTATTTGAAAAGACGAGAGAGTACATAGTCAATTCCAGTATGTTCAAGGTTTGATTTGTATCTGTTTGCATATAACGTGTTCTATTAACAATTGCAGTTTGGGTTGTTGTTGCCTTGCGGCTGTTCTGTGAGACGCTGTCCGCGAGCTCCTCCCGCGAGCATCGCCGGCTCTGAGTCGAGGCTTTCCGACATTTTGTCGCAGATTATGTCAACCAGCCGCTCGAACACGGCCTTTATAAAAAAATACCTTTTAACACTGAATTTTAATTTAGTATTACCTTAATACTTTCTTAGATTTACGCGAATATTTGACATTTTAAATAAAACTATCTTTTCGGATTTTTTCGTGAATTTATTTAGATTTTTTGTTCCATACCATCGGGACATCTATCACCTCAGTCTCTCCCGTGACCATGGATGCTGTAAAGCATTCGAAACGTGGGGAACTAAAAATCCAAATAAATCCGCGAAAAAATCCGAAAAGATAACTTCATTTAAAATAGTAAAACCTTTTTAATACTAGATTTGAATATTAGTAAATTATGAAACGTGTGGAATGTGCGTTATCAACATAATATATGTATGATGTAATCAAAACTATTAAGAATGGTACTCAGTAATGGCTAAAATAATACAAATAAATATATCAAATTTTGCGAATCTTATCCATACTAATATAATAAATGTGAAAGTGTGTTTGTTTGTTTGCTTGCCCTTCTTTCACGTCGAAACGGAGTGACGGATTCTCGTGATTTTTTGTGTGGAGATAGTTGGATAATAATTATTAATGATCAGAATTACTTGAAAGTTTATATGAATGCTCTTCAATACAATTAAATAAATAAATGTTTTAGCATTTTTCAAAATTCATCCCATAACGGAGTAAAATAGGGGATGAAAGTTTGTATGAAACCTACCGTTTTAGTTTTTTTTGTAGTTTTAGCGCGAGTAAAGCCGCGGGTTTTGCTAGTTTTATTTACTATTGTTATTTTCAAAAATAAAGAAATTCTCGATTCAGGTATATATTAATGTGTGTATAGTAAGTAACTAGTAAGCCTATCTTTGCTAATTTATAATCGATTTTTCGTCCTCTACGTTGGAAAAATGATTTTTAAGTGATGTTAAAGTACCTTGTATATTTTCAGTCAAAAAGTTAATACAAGTATATAGGAAAATTATAAATATTTATATGTTACCTTAACATTAATATTTTCTTTAGCGCTGGTCTCGTAGAACTCTACGCCGAGCTGTTCGGCGAGTTGCCTCCCACGCTCCTGGCTGACGACTCTCTCTTCTTCCATATCGCATTTATTCCCCACTAGTATGACTTGCGCGTTATCCCAAGAGTATGTCTTTATTTGTGTTACCCTGTAGATTTAAAATAGAGTGTATTAAATGACTTATATTTAAAAGTATAAAATAACTTATATTATAATTAAATAAGGATTTATTTTTGCTTATTCCAGTTTAAGATTATGATAGTTAAACTAAGAAAAACTAATAATTTGAATAAATATATTTTTTCATATTCCTTTTACTTTTTTGGTTTCCAACGATTCCAATGCTTTACAGCAATCATGGTCACGTGATGTATATAATATAAAACATTTGCGGTAATATAAGAAAGTATTGTAATAACTAACTTATAAAAAGTACTCCAAAATAATATTTTCTTTTAAGGTTCCTGCAGTAAAAACACTTTGAGAATAGATTAAAAAAATCTTTTAATTATAATAAATTGCTATAAAAATATAAAGTAGCAAAAAGTATATCTAGACGGCTAGCTATGGTGACCTATATATTAATGAGATCGTATACCAACTAAACTAGGACGTCTAGAGTAAAATTTGCTTAAAGGGGTGAATTACGTAACAACTTTATATGAACTTACCAATCTTGAACGCTGTTGAAGCTTTCTTCGTTTGTTATGTCATACATAAGAATAAAACCCATTGCACCTCGATAGTAAGCGGTTGTAATTGTGCGGTACCGTTCTTGACCTGCGGTGTCCTGAAATAAAAAAAGAAAATAAAAAAAAAGACATTAAAAAAGTTGTATTGAATTTAAATATATATATATATATATAATATATATATATATATATATAATGATAAAATATAAATTCATACAGCTAAATGTGTTAATCTTCAAAAAAGTTAATGAATTAACCATTAAATAATATCTTAAGTTAGTGTTAAGTATCGAAAATAGCTAAATATTGTGGGAGTAGTGAAACGCACCCATATCTGTAGTTTGACGCGTTTGTCGTGACGGAAGACCGTTTTGACCTTGAAGTCAATTCCTACGGTAGACACGAAAGCTGAAGTAAAAGAATCATCAGCGTACCGAAAGAGGAAGCTGTAAAAACAAATATTTAGTTAAAAAATTAACTTTTGAAAATAAAATTTAAATAAACTTTAAACTATAAAAAATCCAACAATATCGTAAAGAAATGTGAAATTACTCAAAGTCGTCTATTGATCAGATTATTATAACTTACGTACCTAGTCTTTCCAACAGAACTATTGCCAATGATGAGCAATTTGAACATGTAGTCAAAGTTTTGGTCAGCTGCATCTTTCTGCCATTTAGGATCTCCTCCGCCAGCCATCTACAAAAATGTTTTCTCATATAATAATCTATACTAATATTTGGTTTTCTATAATAACTTTCGAATTACCTCTTTTTCATTATTCTGATTATTATTAATATTTGAAATTATTGCGTCATTCATTTTTGTTAGTTAAATATAACAGCACTAATATAATGTACAAAAACACAAGTGTTACTTCAACAGTCACAACAGCAAGTAACTTTTATGTTGAATATGATTAAGCTAAATCTATGGAAAAACGAGTCTTATACCAATGAAATTAGGTTCTTAATAACTACAGCTAGACATAGAGCTTTATCTTTTTACAGTTTAGTGCAAATTGTCATTTGTATTTTTTTTAATTGTAAAGGATACTGTTGCTTATCATCTCATGAATTATTCCGATTCACGATAACCTAAATATAATAATTGTAAAATATTCTACGTAATGTAATGAATTTCATTAAAGTAATGCAGGAAACTTATTTTAATGTAGTAAAATAAGATGTGCTTGAAAATTTTAAGTAATTAAACAATAAACATAAATTTTAATGAATAAATTAATGCCTAAAATTCAATAACTATCCTTTTTGTGTAAAATTGAGAATATAAAAAATTTGATTTAGTTGTCTGTTCTTTGAAAAATTTTTCATCTGTCTCGATTCAATCGCAACACTGTTTTATTCGTAAACTATATATACATTATTTAGACGTAAAATGGAAAACAAAGAAAAAATTAATTTGCCGACCTTCTTTATAGTAGTAAGAAAATTACAGGCCTTGAATTATTGTATACAAAAGAACTGATAAATGCGAGCTTTTTTTCGTAACTCGACATCTCAAGACTTTCGAGTCGAGGTTTATCGTTAAAATGTAATTTATATGATACGTAGTCGAGGAATTTATAACATTTTCTTTTTATTGTATAATTTTATTTTTATTGTACAATTTTAGTGTCTGTCACACGAAATCACTCGGTGTAGGTCAGTTAACAAAAAAAGTAGTATCGTAGTAAATATTTTACAATATGCTCTATGATTAAATTCAAATATTAAAAATATAATCTAAAAAAATTCACCATGTACATGACACATATGTCCTTATAATATGTAATTATTTTAAATTTAGTTGTGATTAATAATAATAATATCAAATTTTAAAATATTGGAATAAAATTTTAATTTCTATAAATCAGTATTTCACTGGTAGCATATTTGAATTGAAATTTCCGCCACGTAGGCGAGGGTGGCTCTCAAAGTTTCGAATGTTGCGCTAACATTGCTTTGTTACTACATATTTTATACCATCCATGAAATTCACAGCTCTACAAACATTATTTCTGATTTCAGGGAGTAGTTGCTTTTAGTATTCATATTAAAATCGTGTGCTTTCATACCAGTGTAATCTTTTATAAGTATTGTATATAGTATAATAAAAACATAACTATATTTCGCTTTGGAAAATAAATTGATATATTGTTATTATTTTAATAATAAAAAAAGTATAATATGTAGTGGTGCGTGCTAGTACCGTCTCAGGTCAAATAGTGTTAGTTATATGAGTTCCCATCATTTTTTATTTAAGCTGCCGTAGTATATGTACATATATAACAGATTTTTGTGTACGTCTTTGGCAGAGTACCTTTCTAACGATAATAATCTGATAAGCCTTTTAATTATTTTAAGTTAAAGAAAGGGTACTTAAGGTTCACCTTCTTTGACAATACTAAAAATAAACCGAATAATAATTAATGTACATTTAAAAAAAAAATGTATTATATCTGTATAGGAAAGAAAAATTTGTATAAAAGGGTACGCTGAAATATGTTAGATATGTATCATTGTATTTATTTCAAAGGACAGACATTGCCAAAAGATAACATGATAAGTGCTCACCTTTTATTGGTTCCTGTAGTAAGTCAACGAAGGGGTCAATATTTATATTTTATCGCTTAAGCGACTTTCAGCGATGTAACCGTAGCACGCCGCCTATCTCTGTCCCTTTTACATTCGCATCACGCAACGGAAACGGGTGCCAGCCTTTAACACGTTTATCGATTTCTTCTATTCAGACTCGTACGAAGTATAAACCACTCTGTAAATTTTTTATTAACAAGTTAAATGAAAAAGTGAAACACCGTAGTACCTGAACTGATAGATTTCACAGCAAAAATCGATAATTGGTTGACTATTTCGTAACTTCTAGTTTTGCACTTACACTGGATGTATTTAATTTTGGCTTCATTAGATAAATATTATATTAGATCATATGCGTCTGGTAAAATTGATGATTTCTTAGTCAATTTTGAAATCGAGTTAAACAGTGTTTCGCGCTCACAGCTGTTACCTCCGTCCTGTTAGCTTCTCACTGTAGCAAGGGAGTGGGATGAAAATCCAAGATGGCGGTGAATGCGCGCGCATGTCCCTCACACAGCCTGTCAAAATTTCTCTGAAACATATTCCATACTCGTGGACGCTTAATCTGAGATGAGAGATAGTCTAACGAAGTTACGTTATATAAAATTATATTAAAAAAACTTAAATATACTTACATATCTTGCATGAAAATGGATGAAATACTATACAAGGTTCATGTTTTTGTAGCAAAGTCCAACAATTCAATACTCAGGGATGACGACAGTCAAAGCCTCGACCCCGTTGTAATATTTTATGAAAATCGAACATATAAGTATGTTGGAGAATTTGAAGCGACGTACAGAATCTATTTATGGAAGCGAGCATCTTAAATGAAGGAGTTATTAAATTTTATCTTATCATTATTTTTTTTAAAGTAAGAAAGCTTTTGTTACAAAATATCTTGTGGAGTTACACAAAAGGTATTTTTGGGTCTTTTTCGTGCTCATGAAGAATGCTTGTGCATATGAAGAAAGGTTGCGGTTGTGATGAGTATGTTCAACACAAGCTCTTCATTGTGAAGCCTCAAATGAAAGCCTTGACCTCTTCTTGACCCAATTACTGAGGTTCAGAGTTTTCCTTAAACTGACACCGTAACGTTTTCCCCTTTATATTATATACGAAAGTGAATTTACTATTAAAACTATTCTCAAGAGCTAGTTCGAATGGGCTTTGATAAGTTTTATATAGCAATAAAAAACTTGACATGCTATCTCTTGCTACTGTTAATTTGTTATCAGCTTCAGTTGCTGGCGACTGTACGGTAGAATTGTTTGTTTTCTGAGAAAATAGTTTTCTGAGGCCTTGATATGGTTAATGAAAAATTTAAAAGGTTTCACTAAAGCTCGAAGCCTTTGGGTTTAGCTTTAGCTTTTGATCTAATTCAAATAAAATTATTCTGATTTTAAATTTTGTTGAAACAGTCCAGCTATTATCGGGCGTTAAGCATTTCAAAAGGCAGGCTACCTATAATCAATACAAGAAAATGGTTCCTATTACATCCTAAATAACCCTCAAAAACACTTGTGTGACCTTAAAATGAAACTATTAAAAACTAAACTAAAATTTACTTATTAATTCGACTTGAACTGTACAGTACTTACTTTGAATACACTAAGAAAATATTTAAAAATGATCTTCCATGTTGTTACGAAAAGTGTTCTTTTGGTTTTTTAATAATTACTATTTCATTGATTGTACTGAAATAACACAATAATATTTTTTTACTTAAGCCATCTATATTCACAATGTAACATTGCTAATTAAACTATAGAGACATAGAACACATCCGTCCTCGAGGCTTTAATGTTGCTTGCTTTTCATAGATGTCGCTTATCATTAAAAGACACTAGATTTTTTTGTAATTTCAACTTATTAACTATATTTATTGTTTATTATACATTATTATTTACTACAAAATACATTTTAATAAAAAATACAAAATGTAGACAATCTCTTTCGATATTCATAGCTGCAATGTGAGTTTTCTCCGTGTAAATGGGCATTCAGAGCCATTATGCACATACGAACTACTAGTCCATTGGCTTACTCCACGAATGATCCCTCTTTAACATAATCGTATGGAATTACGACTGCGAATCCACTCATTTGACACGTAAAAAAAAACAAAGATGTCTCTCGTATTGTTACCTACAGCTATAAAATACGAATATTTAATTAGACTGTAAACATGTTTGTGAGTCTGTGGTTTTATTAATTATAATATATTCTTTCAGATCTAAGTAGAATAAACATATTTAGATTTATTGAAGCTGTTAAACTGTGAACGCTCTCTTAATATTAACAGTAATTGTTTATACAAATATGATTTTTTTTTCGTAACATGTAGTTTGTGATGTAATAATATTTCTTATGAGAGAAAATAGTTATATACTAACTTATGGCACATTCCGCCCAAAAAAGTACCCAATATCTGTCTCTACCTTCGTAAAATATTTCAAATCAGAATCTTATCCATATATTAATTACTAGTGACTTACCCTCAATTCGCTTGGGTGCGTCCCTAGATACGTTTTCAATAGATATGAATAGTTATTGCGAGTGTACCTTAGGAGAAAGACTGATGCTATTGTAGATTTTTCTGTTGGCCGTATTAAGACTTACAATTTTCTACTATATTGTTTTGATGTATCTTTTAAGATTTAGCTAGCGTTAGACATTTAAATTTCTAAGAACGACTCGATAGAACCAGTTATTGTGTTTTCCCGTGGGAATACAAGATTTTCCCGTAGTAAAAGGTAAGTTCTCAATGTTGACCCGAGTAATAAGTTATCAATACACAAAATTTTCTTAAAATCGGTTCAGTACTTATTGCATGAAACGCGCACATCGATTTCGCTAAGTTACTGTTTTATTATATTTATAGATAGTAAGTAAATCACTGAGTACCAAAAACAGTCCTAACAGCTTTATATCAGTAATCTCTCATTATTACATAAATAAAATATATCTAAAATAGCATTGAAGCCAAGTGGTTTAAAAATCTGCCATCATGTATGGATCGACTTTTTCTGATGCACTGCT